AGAAAGGCGACTGAGGTGATTTGGACACGTTCTCCGTCGTCCGCCCCACGAGATTTGCTATGCTGCCATCGACCCACCACCGCAGCCCACCTGGAAACGTTGAAAAGAAAGGCAACCGAAGACTGGCTAGACACCGTCTGTCAAGACATGGAAGCAGGGAGGGCAACGGAAGACTTGGCTCGACACCGTCCGTCAAGACATGGAAGCACACCTTGGACCTTCCATCTTCGGCCTCCGTCGCTGGAGAAGGGACTGGGTGGAGCTTTCGAGATCCGCTGCCCCCAATCGCCACGCATGGAGAGGAACCGTTCGTGACATCAATGTGAGCCGGCTAGATCAGGCATGATTACAGCCGTAACAAGTACAAGTAAGGGTTGTAAGCGTATGTGATAACATAGGCTACTTTAATTGTCACTTTAGTTGATTTAAGACATGCATGTAAATAATCATCTAAGCTCAATAGGTAAGGCTGCTCCTCAGCTATTTCCGGATCCAGTTCCTATGTTACATGTGTGATGTGAGCCTCGGGTTTATCAGGGCAGTCAACTGACGCATTAACCAGATACATCCCCAGCCTTGTGTGTGTGTTATCAGCGTAGTGGCTCATGGATGGACTGGGAGTCAGACAGTGACGGTTCCTTCTAAGCCCGTGACTGTATAAATCCTGGTGTGCGTGCTGTGGAGCGCGCACACGGGTTCACCGGCCCTGTCAGCCACTGCGCCTGATCCCACCTGCGGTCTTCTTGACTCTGGCTTGTCGATGCGATCAGGAGGGTGAGTGTGTGCGGTAGATGCTACGCAAGTCCAATATCAATTAAAACTAATTCACGCACTACTGACCGTCCTTGCACCACCATCTTGTCGAAATCGACGGTCGAATTGTAACGATGGTGATGATGGTATGGCTAAGTAAGCCAGGTAAAAAAAATGCGAGATTATCCAAATGAGGCAGTTTGACGAGGGGGTAACAGGATGTTGATAAAGAAAAGGGGGGATTAAAAAATATTTTTGTGCTTACCGCCCCTTTCCGAACCAATTTCCCATACAAGTAACGACGGCCGGCCACCCACTTGACTGCACGAATCCAGCGAGAGTCTACAAATAGCATATAAAAAGATAATTTGTTAGGCATATTAGAAGGTCATGATAAGCTAAAATCCTACCACGGAGTTGCAAAATTATGTTTTTTTGGCTGATAAGCAAAGAGGACAGTTGCCAGAACACTCATCGCAGTGACAGCACAGTCCACCGTTGAACTCCAGATTACAGAACTTAAGGTACTGCTTGGTAGGTATGTCCGAGTAGGCTGTAGCCTGTGAAAGGCATTTTTCGATTATCTATTAGATGGGTGGTTGGGCTGAGTTGAATTATTGAATTGACCCAGCTGTTAATAAACCCATGGTCTCAGTGGAATTAAAATCTACACCAGCAGCGGGAAGGCTTTACTGCAACCAACGCTCTGGCCGAGAGACCTACGGGACCCTTATCGGGAGCCGACTTTTGTCGCATCTACTTCACTCAGCTCCCTGATGCCAAACGTG